CACAATGAAAGTTACAGATAATGACTTTCACATCAATAAATGAAGGTTACAATTAGAAGATTTTCACATAGATCGAGAAATTTACAATTCAACGACCTTCACGACAATTAATGGAAACTCTGATACAATAGTCTTCATAGACAACTACAGCAGTTACAATCTGACGACTCCCATATTTTAAGGAGCTAAAGTGGAGATTACAAAATGACAATCTCTACAAATGCCCTAGTAAAAGAGATTACAATCTCTTTAAATTCCAAAACACAGAGTTCATTCATGCGTTTCAGATTCACAACGTTGTGCGAACACAGTGTTTTCAACCTTAAACTGGCCTAACTTTTCGTTTCTGTTCTAAAACGCAGAGTTCAGACTCAGAACGCCATTTTTAGAATTTGACTCATTCAAACATAAGTTGAACGGTTCTATAAGGGGACAGTTACCAACCTTAATCCCCCTATAAATATCTAAAAACTCAACTGAGTTAAGGATCGACTTTTTGGCATCCAGGAGATCGGCATTTTGGTGTTCGTAGAGATCTCAGGGTGTTCTTCGGCAACATAAATCTTTTGGAGATTTCCTACTTGGCTCTAAAAACCGATTTTTGGTTCAAATCAACTCGGTTACAGAGTTTAAACTCATTCCGAGTTCTAAAACTCGTTAAGAGTTATCCTAAAACTTGCCACATAAGTTTCATTAATCGTTCTAGTGAAGTGAGATGTTCAGATCGTCAACGAGAAGCGAACTCGACGCGAGCACCGAGGGAGGCATCTCATCGCTACCGTGAAGAAGCCAGTTTTAAACAAAGGGATGGATCTCTATCGACCCTTCTCTCTTTTGTAAATCAGGATTCCGATTGAGAAGAATTATAATTTTTTTCTAGAGTTTGTTAGAGAGAAATTGTATTGAGAGCGCTGTAATTATTCTTTATCTAAATCAGTTAGAGAGAATAACACATTTTGTTCTTAATTTTCTTCTTCAAATTTTCCCACCAACCAAGGTAACTAGATCATTATCCAAAAGAAATGTGTAAAAGTTATCACCAAAATTAGTGGATTTTCTCTCTCTTTTACTCCTCCGAATTTCTATTTTAGAATTTTTGGGGTTTTGTTGTGAGTCTTCACAAACCACTTCTTGTGAGTCCTTATGAACCTTAGATTTTTCAAAACTACTTTTCATAGGAAAAATATCTTCAAAGAAATTAGCATTTTTTACTTTCATTATAGTATTTTTAGCTACTAGATTATTATTACTTTTGATAACAAGAAATCTACTAGCAGCACTATTTTGAGCATAACCTAAGAACATGCAATCTACAGTTCTAGGTCCTAATTTTCTCTTCTTAGATTCATTCACATGGACTTTGGTAAGATACTCCCACACTTTGAAATATTTTAGGCTAGATGTATAACCTTTCCATAATTCATATGGTGTCTTTCCAATTTTCTTATGGGGTATCATATTCTGAATGTGACATGCAGACAGAATAGCTTCCCCCCACAAGTTCAAGGGAGCACCTGAGCTCACAAGCATGGCATTCATCATTTCCTTATGTTTATCTATAAATGTAATATAGTAAAACTTTCCTCCTCTAGACATAGTACTCCTAAATTCACCAAGATCAGTATGAATAAGGATAAGCAAGTTTGTTTTATCTCTAGAAACAGGTTTGCAAGGTTTCTTTATGGATTTTGTTTCAACACATACTTCACATTTATCAAAATTGATATTAGCAAATTCAGACAATAATCCACATGCTTTCATCCGTTTTAAGTATTGAACATTAACATGTCCTAATCTACTATGCCACATTTCTAAGGAATCAAGCAAGTAAGCAGAAGAAGGTTTTTTATTTATAACATCAAGATTATTCAGAACAAATAGTCCCTGATTATAGTAACCCTTACCAATAAAAGTACCACTCTTACTTAACACAAACTTATCAGCCTTAAATGCCACATTAATACCAGCTTTTCCCAACAAAGAAACATATATCAAGTTTGAGCGAATTTCAGGAATATGCAGGACAATAGTCAAAGCAAGGGTTTTACCCGAAGTCAACTTGAGATAGATCTTTCCTTTCCCTTTGACAAGAACAGGACGAGAGTCTCCGATGTAGACTTGTTATTCTCCATCCTTGACTTTAGTGTATGCTGAGAAGGCTAATTTATCACGACAAATATGGCAGGTAGCTCCAGAGTCTACCACCCAGTTCTTCTTCCCAGCAGCCAGATTGACTTTAGAGACAACAGCCATGAAAATATCTCCTTGAGCAAAATTTGCTTTCGGATGATTTTTGTTATCATCTTTATCTCTACTATTATCTTTTCTATATCTGCACTGAAAAGCATGGTGTCCCGGTTTGCCACACACATAGCAATTACATTTAATTTTCTTCTAGAAGGTACCTCCATTAACCTTCAAGTCCTTTTTATTTTTGTTAAATGGCTTATTTTTGTTCTTATTGAACTTGTTGCTGGGTTTATCTTCAATAATATTAGCTTTGGAATCAAATTCCTTAGCTAAATTAACATCCTGAGCCCTATTCTTTTACTCTATATGGATGTGAACAATCACATCTTCAAGAGATATTTGTTTCCGTTTGTGTTTCACACGATTTTTGTAATAATCCTAGGACTCATGGAGTTTTTCAACCAAACATCCATCAATAAAGGAATCAAGTAAAGTAATTCTCTCAGTTTTTAAATCACTTATAAGTATATGAAAATCATGAATTTGAGCAAAGACTTCTTTCTCTTCATTCATCTGGAATTTTAGGAAACTGCCTATAGCATATTTCTGTGTACCAGCATCTTCGATAATATACTTGTTTGTTATTTTCTTCCATATTTCATATGCATTCTTATAGGAGCAGTAAATATCGAAGAACTCATTTGATAAAGTAGATAAGATGGTATGATGACATACCTTGTTATCTTTTTGCCAAACCACTAGCTTTGCTTTATCTACCAAACCTGATAGAGGTTCCTTTTCGGTGAGATATTCAGCATAGTTGAGAACATCAAAGGTATCAAAAACCCTTTCCTTCCAACGCTTGAAATGATCTCCTTGGAACTGTTCGATCTTCGACATATTTGGGAGAAGTCGCCCAGATAAAAAATTCTCCTGCGGAACGATGGTCGAAACTCCGTTGAAGTTTATAGTTGCAGCATCTAGGTTGATGACACCATTTTCTGATCCAGCCATTGGAGTGATCTTTTCTTAAGATTGTTGAAGAAATTTCTTATGGTCGGAATAAATCACAATGTGTGCGAACTGCCGAGATGTGTAATCACTGTCCTTAAGAAAAGATTTCGCTCCTTCTCGGTGCAAAAGACTGCAGTTGCGTCTTTCCTGACAGGATTCAACGGCAGACAACAGGTTAAGGTGCACTCTAATAAACTGTTCTACAAAGAATATCAAATATTTCTCTCTGACACGAAGGAAGATATAACACAAACGTTTTTTAGTGTTATCAACTGAGGAGATCAAGTCTCTATTTATAGGTGAACAATGTTGGAATACGAAAGGTTAAACTACATTGGGAACACCAAAGGTTAAATCACGTTGGGAACATCAAATGTTAAATCATAATATTGGGAACACCAAAGGTTGAAGAACATTGGGAACACCAAAGGTTGAAAGATATTGAGAACACCAAATGTTAAAAATAAATAACAAATTTTGTGTATTTGAAATACACAACAAGAAGCATCAAATTTGATCAGTACTGCACTAATTTTTCAAAATATTATGTTTTGTGCTGTTTTGCACTGCTATTATAATAATTAGAGCTTGATATGCCAACTATATGAAGAAAGAAACCTCAATGGAAAGGAAGAACTCTAGACTTCTTCACCCTCGAATGCAACCTCAATTACTAGAAGGTATGAGTGAGCTTGTACAGTCCTCACAACTTGTTGACTCATTTGAAAATATCACTACTACTTATTTGAACACATCGGATCTAATGGAGTTATGACTTGATCATGTTGATAGAATTAGATATCCATGCAAATTTCTAACTATCTTTGCTATATATACAATGAACAATAATATTTCTAAACACTTGGGGATGGCTTTTGAGGATTTTTATTTTTTTTAAATTTAAACAATCAAGATTCTGAGTTGGACTTCCAAAACATTCTCATCTCTCGCTCCCCTCAAAAGGAGAGGAGAGCCCACAACATGGAAGGGGCTTTGCTCAGTAGACTGAGACATAAAAGCCTGCGAGGACCACCAACAGTTTCAAAATCAAAGTAACATGCATCATAAATAGGCTCAGCATAAGATAATGTGGACTGAAGTTATCAGAATCAATCATATGAGGGGTCTATTTCTTTCCATAAGGGGCAAGTGTGAGCAGAGGACTCTCAGATGAGGAAAAATTTATGAAAACGCTATTCTGCGTGCCACTTGGTCTCATATTTTACTTTTTTCAGGAAAAGGTACTTGCTTCTCACCTGCAGACTGCACAGTTAACTGCGGACACAACCACCCCTTCAAATAAAATATATATGGCAACTTTCAAGGGTATGGGAGCTGATAATATTTATAATCTGAGGAAAGATAAGAGTATCTTCATGCAATAGAACTCTCAGAACTTTACTACAAAGGTGATCCTGTTGTTTTTCTCTCAGTTGGTGGGGAGCAGCTACAACAAACAAATAGCAAATCAGCAAGTAGACAAGTTGTTGGATTTAAATGAGGAATAATTCAAAATAGCATGTCCTCTCCTGCAATTCCATGAAAGGAGAACATATGGTGATTACACACAATGCAAGAGCATAAACCATAATCAGCTTTAGCTGAAAGATGAAAGATATAGCGAACAAGATGAAAATCTAATACGAAACTTACTCCCAGATGTTATATGGCCATGAGAAATGAGAATTAACGTACTAATAAATAGACAAGAGATATTCCATTAAAAAAAATGGGTACATAGAGATACAAAAGATTGAAGGCATCCATGAATATACGGATGAAGACTCTAACAAGGAAAAGACCAAAGTAATGCTCTTATAGAGAAGACAGAGTACAATGGAGACGAATTCGTAGCCTCGTAAAGGAAAAAGGAGAAAGAAGACCATGGTAATTTATCTGAAAAAATATTTTGATCATTAGAAGTTCACAATATCAGCTCTTCTGACATATTTTACGACATTTAACATTCTCTCAACGCATACAAGATACATTTCTCCTTGAACTCTAGTCTGAGTATTAGGAGAGTAAAAGCGGGAGGCCGTTAACTTCATGTGCTTCAGTCACCACGTTGAATTGCCATGTTTTAAACCTGTCCAAGGCAAGAAAGAAATTCATGAAGTTTAGACATACATATGACTTAACTTGCTCGGCTTGTTTCCACTAGAAAATGTGATAAAACTTTAAAAAGGATGGATGTTTATTGGTAAATCAAGGCTATAGGAAAAAGGCATATGATGGAAATCAACATGAAGCGGTCATTAATGCCTAGAACTCATTGTTGTTACGGTTTTAGCTTTAGTTGCTTTCTCTATCATTATTGCCACACATCAAACCAAGACAGCAATTTCAGAATAGAATAATAAATTACAGTATTAAATATATTAGGGACTGTTTGGTTGTTGCTAGTAAAGTTGTGTATTTATGACACAACTTGGAAAGTTGTTGTCCACCTCATCAATTTCACTTTTATACTTTTCTTTGTTTGTTTTTGATTCCATTGGAATCATAAATTGTTTGTTTGGTTTGCAAATATAACTTTAATTGTTTGTTTGGAAAGTGTAAAAAGTAATCCCTACTCAAATGATCATATTGGTTAGAATTATTTTTTATTATTTTTTCCTGACTTCAATGTCAGCTTTTTCCTAAAATCGTGTCTTTTTTTTTATGAAATCACTTTACAAGCCACATCAGCATATGAAATCACTTTACACTATTTTCACAACTACAAACAAACAATTGAAAGTGATGAAAGCTGACATTGGGACCCACTTTTTTACACTTTCCATCCTTTTACATGGTAAAAACATACAACCAAACAGCCCCTTACTTCTGAGAAGAGGTCAATAGGGAATGCAAATGGACTGGTTTATGACTGCTAATAAGAGAAAGGGATGTAAATGTGCAATTGGTAGATGCAAATTGGGATGACAACAGTAAAAATAGTTCTACAATTTTACAAGATCAATCCTAGAAAAAGAACTAGTTTTCACAAGGTAGTTAAATTATTTCAGCAATAATTTGATGAATCAATCTCAAAGGATATCTTCAATACCACAAATGATGGAAATAGTCACTTGGCAAAAGCGTTGAATTACCACGATAATAAAAAAAATTATCAGACTGTAAGATGCAATGTTGTTATTTACCAGAGTGGCCATTCTCAAAATGAATACCAGATGTCGGCAAGCTATTACTTCCAGAAACCTTTACTGTTTGATTCTGCTGCAGCATGTGGGATCCATATGAACATAAATTCATGGCCTGCATTATTAAAACTCAGGGCCAAACTTCAGGCAGAAGCATTTAAAAAAAATGAACTAAAGATGCCCTACAAACCTGAGGAGATAGTTGGGTTTGGGGAAAGCCATAATATTGATCATATGATTCCATATTTTGAGCAGGGAAATTAATTGGATTCATTTGGTTTAATGGTGGGGTTCTCGATAATTGAATTGGTTTATTCATCGGAAGTATTGAGGCACGATCCATATACTGTTGGACACTAGGAAACATCATAGTTGCCATGCCATTTCCCATCCACATAACCTGAGATATTGAAATAATGCATTTACAAAGGTTAGATTGTGCATGGAAAGATGGCAGTTAAATACGAAGGCGCATATGGTTTTAATACCTGAAGTTGTAGTTGAAGTGATTTCAAGTACTCAATTGCCTCATCTAGCATTGAAGCTTTGTCTGTCTGAAAAGTCAGTAATTACCACAGACTCAGTAGAAAAAAAATAGGTGCGAAGTGTAAATAATTTTTTTCTAAACACAAGCTTGATTTCATGATAATATTTACTTGATTAATTAGTCTGTTATATCTCCTAATCTTCCCTTTTACTTCCTT